TCCCTTTTCTGGAAACTTCTTCCTCCTCCTTATTTTTTCCTCCAAGCCTTTCCCACAGGAAATCTTCCCAATCTTTCTTCCATAGAGTTTTTTCTAACTAATCTTCCTGCTCCCTGCTCAGATCATACCAGAAGCTCACAACTGAGGCCTGTGGCTCCATCCAGCTGCTACTAGCCCATGCTTGTTGCCTGTGTGTGATGGGTTTCTGAACTCCACTGTCAGAATGCAAGTCCTGGAGGATGGGAGCCAGGCCAGCTTTCCTTCCTGTCTTTCTCATAGTGTTAAATAATGCTCTGAACTCTGTAGTGTGGCTTACGTTGCAATTTGATTATGTCCCAGAAGTAAGGCTATGGTATTCAAAAGTGAAAAACAACAAGGACCATGATCATGTGATCCTGTGCAGGAAAGCTAGATTGCCTAGAGCTGGGCATCAGCAAATATTTATCGAGCTGGTTCTACACTGAGGCACCACCATGAAATGGCAGGAGGGTACAAAGTGGTGCAAGACCAGCCCCTACTTTTGGCTTAGTTGGAGGAGACTGACCACAAACACAAAATATACCGAGTCCAGTGGTTTGCACAATAAGTGGTCAGTAAGTATTTGTTGAATTACAAAATAAAAACTACAGCAGCAAGTGGTGAAAATAGTACTGGATTTTGGGCAGGAAGAACTGGGTTTTAATGTCAGTGTAAGGAATTGTAGACTTATAGCCATAGAGCAGGTTCAAATCCTGGATCTGCAAAGTATATCAAATCTTCACTGTAGGAAGGCACTAAGCCTTATCTACAAAGTGAGTATCTTATGTGGTTGCTATGAGGATTATAACTAGTGAAGTTGTGCATTTGTATGTCCTAGAGAAGACACGGATCGGTCAGGTGTTGGTAATGATATTATTACCAGAATTATCTCAGCTCTGCCATGTGTCCTCCAGACATTGGACCAACTGAATTGTTACCTCTTGGGCCTCAGTTTTCTTATGTCTAAGACCAAAGGGTGGACATGAATGATCCCTAAATGCTGAAGTTCTTTGATTCCTACCATGACCCAGTTAACTAGGATTGTCGTTCATGCCTTGGGAGCTTAAGCAAATCACCTCATCTTTCCACACCTGTTTCCTCATATACAAAATGAATGTGGTGCTGGGTTGGTGCTCTCCAAGCTCTTCCAGCTTGAAAACTCTGTGGGTCTTGAAATGCTTGTGGAAAACACGAAAGAAGAGGTTCAGAACCTGATTTCCATCCAGTAGCAGTTGCCTTTGAGTCAGCTTCAACTTATGGCAACCCTAAGTGTGTCAGAGTAGAACTGTGCTCAGTAGAGTTTTCAATAGCTGATTTTTCAGAAGTAGATCACCAGGCCTTTCTTTGGAGGTGCATCTGGGTGGACTCGAGCCTCCAACCTTTCAGTTACACCCAAGTGTATTAACCATTTGCACCACCCAGAGACTCCTTGATTTCCATAATGGGATAGAAATAAAGACCGGAGAAGGTCATATTGCAAAGAACAGCATCAGAGGGCTAGGAAGGGGTGTTTTGTAGGTGGGGCCAGGGAAGAAGGGAGGATGGGAAAAGGGCTTTCCTAAGTGAGTAGAGCAGTGCTTCTCAAAGTTCACTGGGAATCTTGTAAAAATGCAGATTCTAAGTCTCAGGGGCCTGAGAGTCTGCATTTTTAACAAGCTCCCAGACCTTTCTTCCTAGGCACCTCTGGGTAGGTTTGAACTGTCAATCTTTCAGTTAACAACTGAGTGCAAACCATTTACACCATCCAGGTGACAGAAAAGGCAGGTGAAAAGGCTTTGGAAAGGGGAGGGGAGGGATGAAAAGGGAAAGGGAGGATGCAGCCAGTGCTTGGACCACACCTTGGGTAGCAAAGAAGAGTGTTCTTCTTTTCCCAGTTTAACAGGTGGGCCCTGTTAAAGATGGAGAATAGAAGCTGATCTCCTCCCTACTCCTTCCTCCATGTCCCACTCCCAAGACCCCAAAGTAAAGGATGTTTTTGCCATTGTTTTTTTTTACACATTCCTTTCCCCTTCCTTAGTCCCAAACATGCGCGCACACGCGGGTGCGCACACAGGTACTTTAACACCCTGGCCTCCCCCCCTCATCAATACTTCCATCACTGGCCTTCACTGCAAAAGTGA